ATCGGTTACCTATATATGGATAATCAATTACCCTTCCTGTTTTTCATGTTGTTTTGCAATTTTTAAGCAGGTAACCGATTACCTGCATGTGGTAATCGATTACCATTATGACAGAATGCCATTTTTGCCTATTTTCAAGCTTGTTTGCTATTATTTCCTCATTTAACTTCCATGGCTTGATATGCTTGATATGTATGGATGTTTTACGAGCTGTTTAACTTCTGTTGGAAGCATATATGCAAACTTTCAATGTGCGATTTGTCGATTCTCGATTATTTTCATTTTGTGACACTTGTATGGTCATATTAATTCTTTTACATTCTTTGATCACATGCTACATGATTTATGATGCATACTAAATAACATTTGATATTGTTTTGCGCTTCCATTCATGTTTGAATTAAGTTTGTTCTTCAAGGAATGAGCTTAACCTTGTAGAATTAATAATTCACCCTTTTTCTTTAATGATTTTTCATCTCCTTTGGAAAATTGTTAGCACATCATTATCCTTCGATTAATTAACCGAAACTTTGTTTCTATTAGTTGATCTCCCCTCTTTCTTCTCTTTTGGATATTTTAGAGCCTTGTTTTCTCGTTCCCCCCACGAAGTCGAAGATTTGCAACACGTTAGAGCACTGTACAATTTTGTGTCGTTACTCTGTCAGTTTCGCGTGCCGTACACACTTTGGTGTTAGGGAAGAAATGAGAGTGGAGAATTCCTACACTCATTCTGATTATTTTGGGTAGGGAACGAATGACCCTGTGCCTAAAATAGTCATTTCTATCTCCTTACTATAGCATCTTTTCCTTCCCAGTCAAGTCGATCCTTGATCACTTGTACCCTAATCTCTTGTCCCTGGATCTAACTTCCTCCTTTTGATTCAACGACCTTTCTCTTGTGGCCAATCACTATTCTTGGATTTTCCAGAAGAGTTGTAATTAGTCATTTCTTTAGCTAGTCTACCGTTCTTTGGTTAAAGATAAATTCTCTTCTTACTAGCGAAGTCAATCCTTTTTCTTCGGTTAAACGTAGTCTGGCTGTCAATATCAAATCCCTAATAAAGTTTGTAACCTTCTCTTGATTCTCTCTTTCTTGTTTGGTTAATCACTGTCTGTCAGTTAAAATACCAATTTGCTCTTCTCCTCAGTTAATCACAGTCTTCCTGTTAACATATAGAGTTTTCTTTGGGTTAATTACCTTCTTCCGGTTAATCACCCGTTCTTTGGTCAATCACAGTCCGCCAATTAAAACCCATATCTCTTGATTTAATCACCTTTTCTTGGTTAATCACTCATTCTTTTCGGTTAATCATAGTCCGTCTATTAAACACCAAATTTCCTGCGATTAAAAACCTTTCTTTGGTTCAAATACTCGCACCTTTGGGTTAGTAACCTTTGTTTGGTTTAAATACCCTTTCCTTCGGTCAAGTACTGCTTGTTTAGTAAATGTACCGTCCTTTGGTCACAACCTTTGCTTGGTTCCATACCCGCTCTTTCGGTTAATTACTATTTATCAGTTAACACACATAGTTTCCCAAAGAGTCAAACACCTTCTCTTGGTTCAATAATTTCTCCCTCATTTTTGTTCATCGCAATCCGCCTGTTGACACCAACCTTTGCTTTCCCCATAGAGTTTGCTCTTATCTTTCTTCGGTTAATCATTGCCTGCTAGTTAATGCACTAAATCCCCTGTGAATCTTACCTTTACTTCGATTCTTGTCCCTTTATTCTCTTGGCTCCGACGCTATTCTGTTGTTTTCTCCCCAGTGGAGTCGTCACTTCTCTTCTGCACTCCTCAACAGAGTTTTTATGTGCCTTTCTTTTTTGGTTTTGACACAATTTCTTTTGCATTCCCAGTAGGATCTTGCTACCTCCTTTTGCTCGTGGTTTTGACGTCGTCTCCGTTTCATTTTCTTTTTGTGTCCTAGTTCCCCAAATTACGTAGGCTCTAACTTCCTCATTGCACTATGAGGATACGTAGGCACGAGATCGCGAGATCTTGGCTAGCTACCTTCTACCTTCTTCGATTCTTCTTTCTCTCTGGTCCGCCCAAATCTCCTCTTCTTTTTCTGGTTCCATGAACTACGGAGCTATGAATTCCTCATTGCACTATGAGAATACATAGGCACGAGGACCCCAATCCTCCACGAGCAATTTCTTTCTCTCTCTTTTCTTTCCCTTTTTAGCTAGAAACCTTTAGATAGATAACCCATCCAAGCTTAAAAGTAAGTGAAATGGTTCTCGTCGAGTACGACGGATCCGTAAGGTGCTAGTACCTTCTTTTCGCATAACTGACCCCCTTACTCGTTTCTCTTCCTTTGAGTTTTATCGATATTTTCTCTGTCCTTCGAGACTAAATAAAGTTTGGTGACGACTATGTTGTATCTTTGAGTGTGTAATTCACTCATGTATAAATCCGCTAGTGTAGTCTATAGGGGGTGAATATACACCCAAGCCAAAATCACCATATAAAATTTGGGTTTTTTAAGTTGTTAGAAAAAGAGAGCGCGCATAAGATTTTGGTATGGGTCAATAAAAGTCGTTTATACGGACCTAGTTATTGAAACTCGGATTTGCAAAGCCAAATATGGAATGACAAACATAATAATCGAAATTAACCTTTAATCAAATATCACATTATTACTCGTTTAAACTAATGAACTTAGTAATGTTATTACCAATGATAATAAGCAAAAATATTGAACTATGCAATTTATTGAACACTTAGTGTGCGAACAAATTTTTAGAATTTCCTTTGTGTTATTGTTGATATGAAAATATCTTATAATCAAAAGTGATTATAAGCTTATCAACAATCAAGTTTAAAACAAAAAGATCACAAAAAAATTCTTACGAGTCGATCGATTAATCAATGCTATTCGACAAATTGCATGCGTAATGAAAAATAAAACGAGTAAAGAGAAAATAGAGAGATCAACACGAGGATTTATTCACGCAGTTCCCCACTTTCGTCCTCGCGTGTGGGTACGTCTGTGCCTAATTTCTAATGTGAAATTATGATATTTTCTTACTATGCAAAAAGCCGATATACAAAAAAAGTGTTCAGAGCAACCATACAAACACAACTAGTTCTGATATTGATTAAACCCCTTTTCTTCTTTTGATCTTGAGTAAGACCAAGACAACAATGAATGCCAATTGACTTGTCAATATTGCTATTCTTTTGTGTTCTTTATCTCCAAAGCTTTCACGCACGATCAATTGCACAGATTGTTCCACAAGACTTCAATTTGATTTGTCGTTCTCAGCTACTTCCTTTGCGTTCTTTATCTTCAAAGGATCCTTTGCGTACTTTATCTCCAAAGACTTTCACAACGTCGCAATCCTCTCTTGAACGTCTTGCACGAAAATCTCCCAAATCTTCACACGATTTTGGAGGACAAATCTGCGGTTTTTTCAGATGAAGACTCCTACAAATCTCAATCCAATATTCTCGACTACACCAGAACCTAATCAGACGTTATCATTGAATCACTTGCAAGTTCCACACCTCTCACTTTGTGAACTTAAATGTTACAATGCTAATCTTACATGTAACACTCTTTCCTCATCTGAGATATTTACTACCGCATGAGAGACCCTTCTATAATAGTAATCATCGACTTACTGTTTTTTTTATGTTCCACGCCTGAATAGATATTCATACAAATTTGAATATCATACACAACCCTACATCAGAAATAAACTTTTGATACTGAAATACACTATATAGTAGAAACTTTAACAATATAATCAATTGACAATCCAAAATATCGTTCTCCATACACCATATATATAGCAAAGAGAAGTAAATGGTTAAAAGTGTGAGGTGATAAATAAAAGAAAAGAATGATTGAGCAATGAATAGTGATATGAAATTGACTGTTGAGGGTCAACACCAAAGTCATTTTCCTTGCCGCCCTCGCTCATAGACAACGTTACTATCCTTTAATTATAATTATTATGCATATCCTCATTTTTCTTTGCTTCTTTCCGTCTTTTGCCTATTTCCATTCAATGCTTAGCTTTTTCTTTTTCTCCATTTGAATTATCCTTTAACTATAACCTGATTATTTCTATTTAATTGAATACGAAAATTATACATATTCATCGAATATGACAGGCTTAATAAAGTAGTAATAATTGACGGTCGTTACTCGTCCTTCAATAATGTCAGTTTTCTAAAACTTATGACAAGACATCTACAATTTTTTTCTGCACAACAATTATGTTTTTCTTATTTAAGGATAAGACTTAACATATTTTTATTAAATATTCAATTTGAATTATTATAATTAGAAACATAAGTAGTAGTATAATTTTCTAATCAATAATATTCTGTAATTATACGCCAGAAGAAAAGAAAAATAAAAATATCATTTGTGTGGGAAAACAAAAAGAAAAATATTTGAAAATTGAATTACTAAATAGGGAAAAAGTGGTAAAAGAAAGCACTGAGATTTAATGCCTTGCTGTTCATGACCTTGTTCAGGAGTTATCTCCAAAAAGGCACACACATTAGTAACTCAGATTTGTATAATCCAGCTATCATCATTTTCTGGTCACTGCAATTCAAAATTATACATATATAGAGCAAACAATTCAAAATTTTGTTTGAAAACCTATTGTTTTTCATGAATTATAGAGGTAGAAAATGAAATAAATACATAAAAATATTAAGAGAAATTTCCTCCTATACAAACTCTCTCCGTCTGCGAAGTCCCTTAATTTGGACTAAAATCAAACCGTAAACAACACACAAATACAATAGCACAATGAGTACCTCCAAAAAAGAACATGTAAGAGAAAAACTCAAATCTGATGAGAATTCAACATGGAATCTGCAAAAAAGAAAGCAATAAACTACTATAGTACAAACTTGGTGGACACAGATTACAATGTAAAAAAATACAACAAAAAAATGCAACCGAATTAACTATATTATAGTAATTTACATATAGAAAAAGCATGCAATATGCAATGAAACTAACCATGGATTGTTATTGAGAATTATTAGGAGCATCTTCTCCACTTTCATCATTAGGTTGAGGATGAGAGTCCAATGAAATTGAATGATGGTGATGATGTTGATGATCTGAGGAAGAGTTGTTAACATTGAAATGACCTGCTCTTGTGTATGCATTAAGAGCAGCCAACATACCCAAGTTTGAATCAGACACTGCTAATCCAAGATGCTGTGACGGTTGATACACCGAACCCAGTTGTAAACCACCGCGTCCACTTTGGAATTCAACGCCGCCGCCACTGCCACCGGGAGGAAGATTGAACCTTGGCATGAAATGTAATTGAGACGGTGTTGCAGTGGCGTTTGCTTGATTTTGAGGCTGAGTATGAGGACTAAAAGGCCACATGTTTTGTGTTTGTGTGTCTGAATTCGCGGTTGCACCACCACCACCGCTCACGGGTACCATCCAAATTGTACTTCCACTACCTGCGGTGGCCCACATGGCCGTTCCCGGTAACATATTCGAAGGTCTAAGAAGTCCTGATATAGAATTCCCCGGAGAAGAAGATGAAGAAGCTCCACCTCCTCCTCCTCCTCCTCCACCACCCTCACCTTCACCTATACTATCTTGTTGGTGATTTGTTTTGTAAGCTTTTGGAGAAGAAGAACCATCACCGCCGCTTTCGTTGTTGTTGTTATCGTCTTTGAAAAGATCTTCTCTATAGCGTTTTCTCATGTAACTCTCATTTGAAAGCGCTTCACCGATTTGATCGGCGTTCATGAGATGTTGTTGGTGTTGATGAGGATGAAACCCTAGAAGAGGCGCGTGTTGGTACGCAGCTTCTTCGTACGGATGGTGCCCCGCCAGTCCAAGCGCGCCATGAAAACTATGAGGAGCGGATTTCGACGGCGGCGCCGACAGCGTGGAGCCGCTGCTTCGAAGTGAAACATTGAGTGTTGAAAAATTTGCAGGAATTGTTCCTGTGCCGGTGGCGGCAATAATAGCCGGCTCCGCTTGCTGGAGAAGCCATTCAATTGTTTCACCGTCGGATTTATGGCCTAATTCTCTGGTCAACTGAAAAACTCTGGCCGCACATGTCGCCGGCATTCGAATTCTTCGTCCCCGGCCATCGACTTTCGTGTGTCTGTCCTTAGTAGATCGTTTGGGAGGATTTGCTACCGTGACGGCGGTAGATGAAGAAGAGAATTGTTGAATCTGACTATTGTTGTTGGCTACGGCGGTGGAGTCGAGTACCTGAGGTTCAGATCTGGTGGCGATTGCGAGAGAGGCATCGATAAGATGAGGAGTAGTTGCAGAAGCTGAAGCGGAAGAAGAGGAAGAATTGGATGAAGAAGATGAAGAGTTTGAAGAAGGTTGAATATTGGAGATGGAGCCCATAATGAAAGGTGGTGGTGGCCTTCCATCAAAAGGGACCACAAGTTGTTGTTGCTGCTGAGGATGAGAATTTGAAGGTGAAGATTCTTGTTGGTGTTGGTGTTGGTGGTGGGGAAGAGTGGTGGTGCCTCTCTTCTGTTTGTTGTTTTGTAAATCTGATAGTTCCATTTAAGCTTGGTAGGGAAGGTTTCAATTTCAAACTTTATTTTTATATTTTTTTTCTTCAATTTTTATCATAGAGATGATTCATGAATGTGTTTGTTTCAAGAGTGTGGAAGAGTGAGAGAAAGAGAGAGAAAAAGAGAGAGAAAGTTTATGAAAATTCAAAAGTGTTTGGACCCAAGTGAGTGAGACTGTGAGTTTGTGGGGTTCTTGTTTTTTTGATTGACTGTTGTCGTTGTTCAGACCGGAACAGACGCGCACAGAACAAGTGTGTGTGAAGGGTAAGAAATAAAGTGAGTAGGTTTTAACTTAAAAACTCAAGAGAGAGAAAAAGTGAGTGGGGGACCTTATTAAGGGCAAAAAAACGTAACAGAAACCACTCGTGGGGTCTCGTAAAAGGAATACAAAAAAATTGCCTTTGTTACTCGCTTAAATCCCTGCAAAATTCTACCACATCTTTGTGCAAAATCCATCTTGATCCAAACCATAACTAAAAGTCAAGACACCAAGTACAAAGTATCCATACACAAGAAATCTACTATTTATTCGAATCACCGTCGTTAAATAATTGATGTATTTGAACTATATTTTAATGACTTTGAAAAGAGAATATTTGTGAGTTTGTTTCACTTTATACATGCAAGTGGCATGAAAAAAATATTTCAAATGTGGCAGTAGATATTAGAAATTTTACATTAGTTGAGATCTGATTTTGAAAGTGAGATTCAAAATGATTTGATTTTCATTTAGTGTTAATTAAGTATTGGTAATTAATAATTATAATGATTGGGTAGTGGGTGGGAGAGTGGGTGGAATGGTTAAAGAGTATAATTTGTAGTATTTGGATTGAAGAGAGAAGGAGTAGGAGTGAGAGTGCAGGTGAGACAGCAGAGCACACAGCAAAAGAACAGATGAGCATCAGATAAAGGCATCTAATGAAGTAAGACAGCTCATCCCAACCCAAACAACATTCTGTGCCTTTCTTTGTTTTTTTCTTTCTTTTTCTTCTTTTCAAATTAAATTATTTTTGTTGTTTTGGTTTTTTATGGTCAAATTTGGTTGGGCGCTCAGATTTTTGTTAAGTGGATTACAGACAAAGACCTAATTGCCCTTATCCAATGGAAATTTCGATTCTATTTTTTATATTTTCTTTTAGTTGGTTTTGTGTGTCCAAATTTTGTAGATACTAGCTTATAGGGATATTTGTAGCATATAAATAAATCCACATGTCTTTTTTCTTACAAATATAAATCCACATGTCTAAAATACACATATTAATAAAGTAAAGACTTTTGATTTTTTAGGAAAAAATGTTTTTGATTTTCTGTTATTTTTAAATAAATTGATAAATTTATTATAACAATTAGTTTTTGGGTTTAAATTTTTTAAAAAGAATTCTGAGGATTAATTCTTCGTACTCGTGAAAAATTTAAAATACTCGTAGAATTCGAGAATGCATCTTCAGACGCATCTCAAACACATTCATTCTTTAATCGGGTTCTAAATCTATGTAAAAAAAATACAGATATGCTAACTTACGAATATGCATCTTTGGATGATGTTTTAATCAAAAGGACACCAGGCTCTTTCTTTTTTCTCACTTTTCAAAATACTCTCTTAAACTCTCAATCTCGCAAGTGTTAAACTCTCTGAACTCACATTCTCTCAAACTCACTTCAAAACTTCTTTCATCGACATCAATTTGATCAAAGAGCTTCTTTTCTATTTATTTATTTATTTATATATACAGTTGTAGAAATTGAGCATTAGGTTAAGAAATATTGTGATATAATCCAAGTTGTCGCTCAAAGTCAAGTTAGTTAGGGTTATGGTTAGTTATATTAGTTTGTTAGTTATATTACAAGTAATGTTGTATATAAATGCATATTGTAATTCAGTTTATTATTAGATAATATTGTTGGCTGAAAGTTTTGACTAAGGAAAGGTGACATAAAGATTGACTTGTGGGTCGACAGGCTGGGAAAGGTGGTAAAGGAAACGATGTGAGTCGACGCCAGCAGAGGGAGTTTTGTGAGTCAATTCAGGCATATTTCGTCGAAGATGTCAACTGATGGGCAAGGAAGCCGACACGAAGTAGAAGAACGTTTGAGCGGAAAGAAATTTTGAAAAGCTGAGAACGTGGGAAGTTACATAAGTGGTGGAAGGACACGTGACGCTACCAAGATCAACATATCAGTTATTTTATTTAAGGCAATGCCCATGTTGATTTTAGAGGACGCATTTTGTAACATTGAAAGGGAAAAACACTTTGAGTACCAAGCGTTAAGAGAAAAGAGTTTCATTCCTGCAAAATGTATGATTGCGTCCACATTTCCTTTTAATAGCAATTTATATTATCAACTTTAATGTATGATAGCAATTTTTAATCACTGGCCTCAAGATTCTTAAGGATTTGGGTGCCAAGAAAGTCGAAATAAAAGGCGACTCTAAACTGGTGATGAAAAAGATCACGAGAGAGTATAAATGCGTCAAGGAACACCTTGTGGTGTACTTCACGATGGCAAAACAACTCTTGGAACGCTTCAAGGTTGTCAGCATTACACACGTGCTCAGGATAGAAAATCAAGAGGCAAACGATTTAGCGCAAATCGCCTCTCAATACAAAGTGTCGGAAGGAAAGCTGAGAGACTTCATTGAAATTAAGGAAAAAGTGGTATCGAAAGTACTACCACTATTAGGCTTATCAGAAGTTGGAGGCAAGTATCCCGACAAAGAGCTTAATTGAAAGTTTGGGAAACTGTGAAATCTTCATTATCGACAATCTATCACCGTCAGATTAGAGAAAACCAATCGTCGAGTATTTGGAAAATCCGGTGGGAAGGGATGATAGAAAGATTAAGTACAGAGCTTTAAGTTACGTCCTAATGGGGAATGAGTTGTTGAAAAAGATGTCAGAAGGGGTGTTGCTTAAATGTCTGGGAGACATAGACGCGTACTTAGCAATTTCGGAAGTCCATAGTGGGACATGCGGGGCTCACCAAGCTGGCCATAAAATGAAATGACTGTTGTTTCGACAAGATGTGTATTGGCCAAGTATGCTCAAGGATTGCATAGACTTTGCAAAGGGGTGCCAAGATTTTCAAAGACACGCGAACATCCAACACGTGTCAGCCAGCAAATTGCACACCATCGTCAAGCCATGGCCCTTTCATGGTTGGGCGTTGGATATTATAGGAGAGATTCGACCAACCTCGTCGAAACAGCAAAAATTCATCCTTGTGGGAATAAACTATTTCACAAAGTGGATAGAGGCTTTACCTTTGGTAAAATTAGATCAAGAGATTATGATCAAATTTATCCAAAACCATATTTTTTACAGATTCGAGATTCTTGAAACCATTACGACGAACAAAGGTTCTGTGTTTGTTGGCTAGAAGATGCAGGAGTTTGCAGCAGAGACGGGTTTTAAGTTGATCACTTCAACACTGTATTATGCTCAAGCAAACGGTCAAGTCGAAGCTACCAACAAAGTTGTAATTGGACTCATTAAGAAACATGTTTCCAAGAAACCCAAGAACTGGCATAAGACGTTAGATCAAATTTTATGGGTATGTCGAACGTTCCCTAAGGAGTCGACCAATTCGACTCTGTTTCGTTTGACATTTGGTCATAATGATGTTTTGCCAGCAGAGATTTGTTTACGGTCAATTAGAGTGCAACGTTAGCATGGCATTCCATCAGAGCAATATTGGAGCATGATGCTAGATGAAATTATAGACTTAGACGAGGAAAGGATGGCAATGCTAGACAGGCTATCACGCCAAAAGACACGGGTGGCTAAAGCATACAATAAGAAGGTCAAAAAGAAGAACTTTGCAGTCAATGATTATGTGTGGAAGGCGGTTTTGCCTGTGGATCAAATGGATCTAACGTTAGGAAAGTGGTCACCAAATTGGGAGGGACCATTCCAAGTAACCCAAGCGTTCAGTAACAACGCATACGAGATCCGAGAGATAGGCATGGATCAATGAATCATAAGAGTAAATAGGAAATATTTGAAAAAATATAAACCTATGTTACAGGAGGTTAAAATCCAAAAATAACTTTTCATTGATAGTTGGCCCACGTGGATAGAAGGCCAAGACAGTTCACAAAAAAGCTCCAGAATGGAGTTACAAAAGTTCAACTAAATAAAAAATACAGTTATGCTAGGAACCTTGATTTCAAGTCTTCAAAAAGGTTTTTTTCATGATCCACTTTACTTTCCAAAAGAAACTTCTTTTGCCACATCTAGTCAATGGTATCCTTTATCACAAGGGAGGTTTCAACATGAGTGATCCCCTGAGACACTTCTTGGTCGATGACCTCTTGAGCCAGTAGAGGTTCGTCGGAGTCCAATGAGGCTTTCTACTTCTCAACTTCAGCAATCTTTCTTGCAAGTTCTGTCATCTGGGCTTGATAATCAGATATTTGCTGGTCGAAGACACGATGCTTGTCGGGACGTTCTTTCTTTGTGCTTTCAAAATCCTTAAGTTTTTTCTCACAAAGGGAGCTGAGATACCACTCTCGTTTCATCTCATTAATCCTCACCCTAACTTGAGCATCAGCCTGTTTACACATTGATAGGTCCTTTTCTAGCTGAGTGAATGAAGAAAGCCTTGAATTCAATAAAATACTTGGCCATGGGAGCAGGCACTCTAAAATGGGAGAGTTCATCCAGTATTTTGAAGACATTACAGGCTATAGCTGACTCTTCTGCAACGGCGTCTAGAAATTCATCCTCAAACAAGTACGTCCTCAATTATTGAAGTTTAAGGGCAAAAGAATCATCCATATATGGGTTGAGAGTGGCCTTCAAACCAACAGGGGTGACACCCACAGTCGACTTACGAAGCTTAAGCAAGGCCTTCAGAGTCTCTGCTGGGTTTAATTGCTTCATAGTCAGTATCTCCTCCGTAGTAAGCGTCCTTTCGACAGAAGGGCCACCTACAGTGGAACCTATGGGAGTTGGAGTGCCCTCAGTAGTAGTTGGGATAATCATAGGG